CTATCACATACATGCATATATAGCAGCCAAAAGAGATTCAATAAAGTATTAGTTTTATTATTTTTTTTTTAATAAGATATATAGGAAATATTCGAAACAAATAAATTTTTTGCTTATTTTAAAAAAAAGTTAATATAATAAGTAAATTTAAATAGTTTAATTAATTATTTAGGTACCTGTAATTACCCTGATTTGACATTTCAAAAATTGGTATCATAAGGATAAAATTAGTAAATCATATTTTAAAACAGTAATTATTTTGTATTATAGTAGAATTTTTTAAAAATTTTTAATTAATAATTAGAATTAGTAATTAATATAGATTTTTTGATTTATAATTTTGATTATAATATTTTATTTGTAATAATTTATATAGATTATAGATTTTAATTATTAATTAAGTAATATATTAATATAGAAAATTTTAGAAGAAATAATTATGAATTATAATTAGTAAGCATAAAAATAATTATTTTTAGATATTCTAAAAGAAAAAGATAGTATATAGTATTTGATAATCAATTTTTAAGTATAAATATCTTATAAATTTTTATTATTATTATATAAAATCAGATTATAGTCTCAAAAAAAATTAAGAAAATAAAATATAAATAAAATTATGCAATTATAAAATTAATTTACTTATACTATAATAAAATATTTTTCTTTATTCTATATTTAAACTTTAATATAAACTTTCTTTATATATATATGAAAGTTTTTTATTTTATTTACTTTAACTAAAAATTTATTTGCAAAAGAAAGATTATATTAATAATAGGTAATAGTAGTAATTAAAATATAAAATTCTTTATAATATTAAAAATGATAATATCTTTTATTTGTTAAACTTTAAATTTAAACTAATAGTATATAATTTTTATTTAATTTTTATACATATTTTTTCTCTTTTTTTCAAAAATCAAACAGTTCTTATTTCAAGAAATAAGTAGTTATTTTCTTTTTTATTCTAATTTTATTTTAATATATATCAAGAATCAGCTAAAATTTAACTAAAGTTATATATCTTAAATACTAAAATACTAAAAGTAAAAAAACATTAATTTAATTATTTAATTTGTATAATATATAATATGCTTTCAGATAATTAATAGATTTTATTAATTAAATATATTTATTATGATCACTAAAATTCAGATTTTATAATTTTGATATTATAAGTATAATAATTTTAATAAGATTTTAATATGTTTTTACAACTTATATTAAAATAATTTATTACAAATTAATTATTTATTTAAAAATTTATAAATATTTTTATTCTTTATATAATTTATTATTTATCAATTAATTCATATTTTATTAGTTTATTAACTCTTTCTTTATATTTTATTTTATCTTTAACTATTTTTTTGATTTTTATTGATTCTATTTTTATTATTTATTATTATTTATTTTTTTTAATTATATTTAAGATATTTTTGTTATATTTTTTTATAAATTTTTTATTGAGTGATAAATAAATATTATGGGATTGTAATTAGTCACAATATTATTTTTACCTATAATAGTTCTTATCTTTTAATTTAGTTAAGATTTGTAATTATAGTAGATATAAATTTTTCTAGATATTAATGATTATTCTTTTAAATCTCTTAAAATAAATATTAGATTACTAGTAAAAGATAAAAATTTTTTATTAATATTTAAATTTAATATTATATATATTAATTTTATGTTTTAATTATAATAAATAAATATTTTTATTTAAAATTCTATTAGATATTTCTTTTTTAGAAAAAGTTTTTTATTTTTAAATAATATATTAAAATAAGTTTTTAATAGGTATATACAGTATATTATTTAATCTTCTTTAAAATTAAATTAAATTTAATTTTTATATATAAATATACTACTTCTGCATTATAAATTTACTAGAAATTTTATTAAAATAACAAAATTTTGATTTATTATTAATTTCTTATTTTTACTTAAAAATAATTACTTTAGCATTTTAAAAATTTTAATAAATTTGTTAGAGACTTTACTGATTTAATCTTTGTAAAAATGGCAAATTTATTGCTAATATTTTAAAAATAGCATAAAACTTGTTATTTTTATATTTTTTAATAATCAAAATTTACCAAAATATTATTTAAAGGACAAATAAATAATTTATATTTCTAAAATACTATTTAAATGAAAATAATAAATAATTATATAAAAACTTATTCGACACTTGTTTTGTTACTGATTAATTTCGGTCAAGCTACATAATACCGGCCAAAATCACGTGAATCAAACATTTTCGGTTAGTTTATAGAGATTCCAGTTGATTAGAGTCAATTGTAATGAAATGAATTCTTCAGTCAATCAAATTGATCGATGTTATTTTGATACATTTTTAATCACATGCTTTAACTTCGCTAAAAAAATTTTAAATTTATTCCCGATAATAATAATAAAAAAAAAAAATAAACTCTTACAATCATTCGAATTATAAATATAACATTCGAAAAGTTCGAATTTTAATTCTTATAATGAAAAATGAAAAAAAATTTCAACCGAATTTGAGTTGATGATAACACTATTCTATAAGTGAGATAGCAGTTTTGATGGCCGAACAGGTGGCCTCAAAAAATTTGTATACTAACAACCCCGTATCTACAGAGTTAAGATCATATACTGGAAATTCTCCAATTATGCTGCGAAATATGTTAACCATCTCATTAGTAAAACTTGTGATTTTCCCAAAAAAATAGAATATGTTTTTGGATTTCATCTCCCCTAACACTCTTTCTGCAGTTAGACCGTTCGGGTCGCCATTAGGGTAGTCATCATCAATGTTTTTGTAACGACGGCCATGTGATGGACAGTCTCCGATATGAAAAATTATTCGGGCTTCATTGCGCCAGGACATTTGATTTACGGCTACATTGAGTCCGCCTAGGACGTCTTCCGGAGTATCTCCACCGCCCATGGGTGAAACACCGGATAAGTCCTTTTCGAACTGCACATACGATTCAGTGAAGGGAAACGTCTGCAGGCGATTAGCACCATCACAGTGGTCGCGGTAGCCACAGAAACCGAATCGAATTTTAACACTTGGCTTCATCTTTTCCATACATTTTGCCACATTTAGGATACAGTCCTTAGCAGCGTTAATATGACTCCCCATAGAACCAGTGCAGTCCATAACAAAGCAAAGGTCAACTTCCATGAGATTATGTATATAATTGTATAGTTATAAAAGTCTACGAATAACGTATCAGATAGTAATAATTAACTAAAAAACAATTAGATTTATTAGTTAATGAGAATTTTGTTCAAAGATGAGGTATAAATTTATGAATTATCTTTTATTTTTTTTAAATCGATCACATAGAATTGTTATTGTATGTGTTTATATATACGGTAGAAGATATATAAATTAACTAAAACGAGAAAAAAAAACAAGAATTGATTCATTTATCTCATATTTCAGATGCTGTGCGACAAAAAATTTTTCGTAACTTTGTATTTTTGTTTATCGAAAAAATTTTCTTTGTTTCCAAAAGGGATTAAAAAGGGAATAATTTGCATTATCTAAGTCCAAATTGAGTCATTAATGGTAATGGCAACATAACTTTTTATTTGTTTTAACAAAATCGATGGGAAAAAAAGTCGTAAAAAAAATGTTTGACATTTTATCTTATAAAAATAAAATAAAAATAAAGATAAAAATAAAAATAAAGATTAAAATAAAATAAAATAAAATAAAAAATATAACTAAATCGGACCTAAAATAGATGTCACAATTTATAATTCATTGGAACTATTCAATAATAATTCTCTTAATAACTACTACTGAATGAAACAACAAGGTAGCTTCAAAAAACTTTGGAGATTAATGCTTCCGGGTTTCCTTCTACGATCTCGAGATCAAACACTGAAAAATCTCCAATTATGCTATGGAATATATTAACCATTTTTTCGGTAAGGTATCAAAAAAGTAGATGTTTGCCGATTTTGCATTTTCTTTAGATGTCTTGGCTGCCTTTCGGTTAAGCTTTGGATGCTAATTAAACGACGACCATGTAGTGGAGCGTCACCGAAGTGGAAAAATACGTGATTTTCATTTTGCCAGGTTACGGCTGCATCAAGACCTCCTAGAAAGTCTTCAGGGATATTTCCACCGCCCATGGCTGAAACTGTGGATAAGTCTCTTTCTAAATTCATGCATGAGCCAGTGAAGGGAATATCAGCAGGCGGTCAGCACCATAAAAATTTATCAATTCGAAGTTGAGAGCTCATAAATTTTAATTTTAGCATTTATATCATTTAAATAAAATAAATTTTGTTCAAAAAATTTTTATTGGTTCGACCGATCACAGTCTTGTTGCACAAAATTAGCTAAGGAACTAAAATTACAGTTTTCCCATTTTTACTGATATATAACTATTGATTAATTAAATTATATTAACATTTTGAATACAATCATTATAAAATATTTTAACTACTGATAATTTTTATTTTATTTCACAACATAAAATTTTAGAAAAAAATAATAAACATCAGTAAATTTAGAATATAATGCATTTCTTAATTATCTAACTCTTCGGAATTCTTTAGTAATAAAAGCATTTAATTATTGCTTTTTAATTTGAAATTTTGAGCATAATTGAAATGGAAAAGCAAGAAAACAGGAACAACTTTGATCTTATAGGTTCTAAGTCACCTTGCAGACAATTTTAAAATGAGAGAATCATCCTTAGTAGTGTTACACTGGATATAATTTCGCCCGAAAACTCCATAATTCCGAATGAAAATCGCTTTCGATATTTGCAGTTAGTCTTTTAAGATCATTTGCCAGTGCCAGTATGACAAAATGTCAAGATGCTGGGCTGGGCCTAATAATTATTTTTTTTTTATAAATTAGTTGGTATCTTCTGCGCTGCAGCAGGTTATAAGAATAGAATCATTAGTAATTGAATTATGTAGTAGAGTATTTGAAGTTTTTCTTTATTTATTAAGTTTTAATATAAAAAGTGTATATTTAATAGTGAGAGATAAAATGTATAATTATATATAAGAAATTAATTAATTTATATTTACATGCATATTTTCATTACCAAAAAACACTTCTTCCACATATTAATGAATAATTATTAATTTTATAGAATCCATAGTAAAAATTTTTTGACATTCTTTGAGAAATCTTGTAACTTGCCGATCAATTGATAAATCATTCTATCCAACCCCTTGGATTCTATCTGGCACAACATGGTTATTGACGATGGCATTTTTTATTTTTTTTTGAAAAATTGGGACAAAAACTTAGAAATAATCGTATATATATATATATATATTTTTGTATTTTTTTGATAATAAAAAAAAATTTGTAATAAATAAAAGAAATTCAGTTGTATTGTTAAAAAATGAGATGATCTATGTATATAATATTGAACCAAATTTCGATATAATGATAAGATATATAACTCGTTAATTAAATAATTTTGTGCACTAACTAATTTATTTAGTTATCACGTAATAAATTAGCTTAATTATTTTGATTAAGTTTATAGATTGGCATTTACTTTTAAGATATTGACATTGCGAAACTAGAGCGCCGACGTTGATGCAACGCTGATTAATTAATTTGATAATATTAAATAAATATTTTGTCACATTAACTTCATTTTTATTCAATAAATCCTTCTGCTTACTTACAAAATTGTATAAACGAAAGAACTGAATACAACAGTAGCATGGAATAAACTCAATAAGACCATAAGAAGGAGAATAAATGTTTGTTGGGACCTAAATTTTCCTGCTGAATATTTTGAAAAGGTGAGTTTCGTACTTAGTATGGATAAACACAGCAAAAAAAAAAAATATAGTAACCCCACATACAAGAAGGTTTTTCAAAGAACCAAGTCATGGTTAGATAAATATAAATTTTGGATCTAAGGCCACACAATTTTCCATTTTGTGAAGACTGTTGTTAGACCTGGAATCGTCTCAAGACCAAGCTAACAAAACTAAATAACTTAAAATCTCAATTATCTCGAAGGGCTTTCTTTAAGAGAAATTAACGATTAATAAATAAAACAATTTATTATCACGATTCACTTGTGTAGTAGGTTATACAATCAATCCTATGATGAAGACAAGAAGAAGGTTGAAAGTGTAAATAGTAACTTTATTAATCTGTAGAGTTATAAGTCTATCTCAATCTCTGAGCAAAACTCTGTCGACCCAAGGTCAATTTATATAAAATTGTTAACTAGTACTATACTACGCTTTTTTTTTTGATAATTATAAACGATAAATATAATTAAAACTAGATAATATAATATAAGTAATAAAAAGAAGACTATATAATATTTATAATAAAAAGTAAATTATTCGATACATGTATTATAAAGTCTATCAAACGATTTTCGGCGCAGTGTAAGATCATCTGAGGCGCCGTATGATGTGCGAATAACACCGGTTAACAGGTTAACACTGGCCGAAATTCAATTTTCGGTCAGAATTAAGATTTTTATGATTGTGGCCAAATTTATAGTCCTAAGTTTATTAGGCTCTAGACCGTATGATACGGCGGGTTACGAGATTCTAAAAAAAATCAATTTGCCCGGCTAATATTGGGACTTTTTTATGTTTCTATCGGGTTTCATGCATATTTTTTTTTTAGTGCCAAACCACCACGAACAAGGTACATTGTAGCGTATATCCCGCAACAAAATTTCTTCCCATCTTTCGCAATGTATGCAGTTGCGGTTGTGGATGATGAACTTCCCATTGAGTCAGAGGCGGTACGTGTTTCTTTAGTTTCATTAATTTGGGTTCTTTCGCTTTGGCCCGCAGCGATAGACGATATTTATTTCATTTATTATTATCAATAATTATTAGGATCCTCTTCAGGCTTGCTTCAAAAATAATCGGTGTGCTTTTTGTTTGTATAATTTTTTAGTTTCATATTATTTTTTATTTTTTTAAAATTTCCAGTTTGCGATCAAATCTTTTAATTTTCCGTTTATCATTTTCTTCTCTTAACGAGTTAGAATCATTAGGTAAGGGTTTTGCACCATCTTTTGCTTTTTTTTTTGATCATTGCATCAATCAAATGTTTTTTTAAATATATTTTTTTATTATAGCTTCAATTAAAATATAGAACAAATTCCAATCTTATCTGAAAATTAACAAAACACATACACAAGATGATTCTTAAATGAATTGTTTTTTTAAAAAAAAATAAAAAAGAAGCGAATCATAAATTAAATTAGTTTATTAGGTTGCCATCTTCGTTAGTTATTTTTTTTTTTTTACTTTTGCACGCCTAATTTTTTATTTTTGTTCGTTTGGGAATATTTTAGTTTGTTATTGACAGAATTATTAGATTTTATTTAGTATTTGCAAATATTAATATGTAATTACCATTTTTAATGCTTGCGCTTAGCCAGTTATAGTTCTAACTATAACCGTTTCTCCTGAACACCGCGTAGAGGTGGCAATCTTCGTTCAGGTAAAGACAACTTGAACCACCACATATCAAATATGACAGCTCATTTGAGGTGAAAAAATGTGAAATTGAATATAATGGAGATATAATATTTTTTTTTTTTAAAAAAAAAAAGGAATGTACACCTCAGGACATCATCGAAATAAATAAAGAAAGCTTAATGATAATTTATATATATATATATATTTATATAAAATAAAAGATAAATATAAATTCTAGCTAAAAAAAAATACGAATGAAGTGGCAAAAAGGATAGCAAACATCATATAACATATACGATACCTTTGTATCGTAATCATGTCATGCTTACCAAAAAATAAACACCCTAGTGAAATTTATTAAAAGGGTGAATTTTTTTAATTTTTAAATTTTTTTATGCCGGCCAAGACGACAAAAAGAAGGAGAGGTAGCCAGTTTAACGGAGGGGGAAGGGATAAAAACTATAATCAATGGCTATGTAATAACCAGGAGGATCAATTCGGGTCACTGATTAGAGGATTTTGGATCAAGATCCATCGGCTCCAGACACCTAAGAAGGGGATAATGAATTAAGGGACGATTAAAAACGTGAAGGTTAAAGTTGGGGTAAAAGAATTAGAAATGAAGGAAGTGGAAGGAGATGAAAAGATAAATTTGGATGAGGAACGGAGGAAGATGCGAGAATGGGAAAAGGAAAAGGAGAAGTAAAAAAATCTGGAGGAGTGGAGAAAATCGAAGAAGTGGGAGAAGCGGAAGAAATAGGAGAGGGAAAAAGATAAGGAAGGAGATGTAATAATAGGAGGTGTATTATGGGATTAAGAAGAGGGCGAAGGAAGGAGGAGAAAATCTGAAGAAAGAGAAGATAAAGAGGAAGATGCAAGCTGTAAAAGAGGGGAAGGAAAAGAAGGTGCAGTTGTTAAAGGGCAGAAGATGAAGGAATTGAAGGGGGATAGAAGAAACGGAAGTTGAAGAAATAGGTCGTCGCCTTGGCGTGACAACAGCACAAGTGTCACCTTGAAGTCGTGTTTTCGAGTCATCGTTTAAAAGATTCCTTGAAATAATAAAAATGTAAGTTATTTTAGTTTTAAAAAATAAAAAAAAAAAATACGAATAAAGGTTATCTAGTATGAAAATTTACAGGCACCTTTAGCCACTTTAGTGATTTTATCCTTAATCTATGCAACGAAAACACATAACCTTAATAAAGTTTCGCATTCAATTTGAGATCAAAAAATTCGCTACTCAATAAATAATATCGTTTAGAAATGGAAAGTTCGCGATTAATCGATTCCTACTTTATTCATGTCAATTGTATTTCCTATTTCGGAATCAGTCTGCATTGACAAGGTTTTTTTTATTTAATTTTCTTGCGATAGCTATCATTCAGGTTGGAACGCGGTTTCTTTTAAAACTTTTTTCCTTTTTTAGGTAAAATTTCATTAAATTATTTGTGGTTGGATCGCTGTGGCCGCAGCAAATATTTCGAGTCTATTTTTTTTTATCGTTTTAGGACGCAGCGATCGAACGATTCCTTTATTTTTTGAACTTTGCTCCTTTAGATTTCTCTTTCGGGTTGGTTCGCTTCCTTTGGGTAGTGGCGGTTGAGGAAAATCGTTACATTACGCTTCTTCTATTATAGAAATTTAGAGTTCTATTGTAATATAGGTACATTTATGTCATTAGACGTTTTAAAGTTATGTGTGCTGCTGAAAATCTCAGATGATGATTTCAAAATGTTGGAAAGGACTATGAATAAAATAAATTTTAAATTCAAAATTTTATTTAAATACTATTTATATAAATTTTATATAAATAATTAAATTTTATATTATTTTTAATCAAAACTTTCGTTACAATTTTTTAGGACAATTCATTTTGTAAAGAATGTTACCAATTTCTGGAAAAAATATATTTCTTTAGATTTTCCAATTTTTCAAAATGTCACTTTTGCCAAGTGGATTAACTTACTTGATCATTTTGGCTTAATTATTCTGACGAAATAATATCTTTTCCAGGTAATTTTTTGGACGCTTTAATTTGCATAGTGAAGGTTTTTAGGAGCGATGACGGACTGTAGTAATTATTTCGAGTTTTTTTTTTTTTTATATTCTTTAACCAGCTGTCGGGTTGGCTTATTTAGGAAGTAAGAAAGTTTGCTTTCAATTTTTTACTAATTTGGGCCGATGTTTTGGGTAGCACAAATTATTTTGTATCTCTCGAACTCTACTCTAGAACTCTAGAATAAATAGGTGTAACATTAAATAACTATAAGTATCGTGAGATTTTTCATATTTTAAAATATTTCATTTTATAACAAATGGAACTTGAAAATTCTTTCGATCCAACTCCAAAATTAAAATCCAGTCCTATACCAATTACGTTTATTCCTTTTAAACCTAAGACTAATTGTCATTGTGGAAATAAATACTATTGGACAAATTTATTTATATTTTCCCAATATTATTGTAAAAATTGCTTATCTAAGTATGTTAGTTGCATAACTGATAATAATACGTATTTGGATCTACTTATAATTAAAAATTATACTTATTGTAATAAACATGAAGCTAGGAATGCGGATTTTTGCACGCAAGACATTCAAGAATGGTGTGAAACTTGCTCCGATATTTTATGGTTCCATCAAGTACACCAGTATAATATGCATGCATTGAATAATGGTCATAAATTAAAAGCATTTGAAAATAATAAGGATTGTAAATTATGTGGGAAGTTAGTTTATCAGGTGCCGAAGGAAGCGATCAATTATCAGATATCTAATCAGATATGTTCAGATTGTTATAAAATTTCTTCTGGGTGGATAGAATCGACCTTAACTAAAAAGCTTATTCCAATTCTTTATTTACCATGGTGGGATAATAGTGATACATGTAATAATTGTAGTAAAATTTTAGCTGAATTATCTGATTGTCACAAATGGTGCACATCTTGCCGTGTAATTTATTCTGGATGTAGATATTGTTTAACTACAAATATTACTTTTGGATTGACAGAACAATCTCAATGTAGAAAATGCAAAAGAATATCATTCATCGATATTGATACAAATTATTTAAGCAGTGGAAATAGTAATATAGACGAATTTCTTAATAACATAAAAATTAGAGATGATGATCAGAACAATCAGATCGCTGATTATATGAAAAATATTGCGAAAAATTCTGATCCATTAAATGTCTATGTTTTTATTAAAAATTTTAAGACTTCACATTATTCCATAATGGAATAGATTCCACCTTCTAAAATTTCAAATTTAGAAAAAATATCAGAAGGAGGTTTTGGTATTATTTCTAAAGCGAAATGGTCTGACGGTATACCTGAATATAAAAATCGTAAATCTTCTAGAGAATCTCGATCAAATAAAACTGTTGCCATAAAAAGGCTTCGAAATTCAAAAGGTATTAGTAAAAAGTTTTTAAATGAGGTAATTATTGTAATTATTTAGTCTTTCATATTTGTCTGAGATGCCAATTTTGATGCAAATTTAAACAAATTTTTATTTTTATTTTTAAAAAAAATTAGTTAAGTTCGCATCATACTTGTTCTTCTGATCATCAAGTTAGCCGTATTATCAAATATTACGGTATAACAATGGATCCAAAAACAAATGATTATATGTTCATAATGAAATATGCAACAGGAGATTTAAATAAATATTTACAAAAAAAATTTACAATGACGACATGGAATAAAATGAAATTAAAATATTTATGGCAAATTTTAGAAGGGTATATACATAATTTCTCATAAATTTAAATTATTTTATTATGGTTGTAAATATACGGTACTAATCTATATTTTTCAATTAGGATTGAAACTATTCATAAAAAGAATCTAATACATAGAGATATTCATAGTGGAAATATATTACTTTTTGAAAATAACGAACCAAGTTATCGATGTCAAATTGGAGATTTAGGATTATCGCAACCTGCGAATAATACGTCATCAAATAATGAAATATTTGGAGTAATACCTTACATAGCACCTGAAGTATTTAATGGCGCTTCATTTTCAAAAGCATCTGATGTTTATAGTATAGGCATGATTATGTGGGAATTTACAACTGGCTGTAAACCTTTTGCAAACATTGAACATGATACTCAACTTATTATTGAAATTATTGATGGAAAACGACCTGAAATTTCAGAAGATACTCCTGAATGTTACGCTAATTTAATGAAAAGATGTTGGGCTTTTGATCCTTTAAGTAGACCTTCTATAAAAGAAGTTCGTAAAACTGTTGGTAGTTGGTATTTTAGAAAAAAAAATTATGAATTGAA